CGGGCTCCCAGGGCAGCCGATGAAGACACCCCCCACCGCCCCTTGGCAGCGCCGGTGGCCTCTGTGATGCCCTGACATCGCCCTGCACAGAGAGTGCCCGCCCACCGGAGCATCCTTTTTCCCTCGAAGCCAGCGCTGACTCGAGGTCCCCGCCCCAGAAGCACAGCCAGCAGCGAGGAGGGGCAGTTTTCAGGAGAATTTCTTTATTCGGCTGCACAGAAGAGGTGTAACAGGGGAGCAGAGATGGCCTCCAGGGGGGCAGCGTTAGTACTTGGTGGGAAGGCCCGCAGGTCTGTAGCGGTTGGGATCCCCGCCGTTTCTGCCCCACGCATTCGCCTCTTGGTCAGCTCGGGTGTCTTCTGCACCTCTGCCACTCGTATCGCTTTGCCATTTTTCTCGGGCATCACTAGCAGGAAGAAAAAGGGCCACCTGAACCAACCAGCATGTAACTCCACTTTGTGTTGCTTCCCTCACTCATGTAAAACTAGCTTTTCCACAGGACTTCTCAAAGTGAGATGCAAGCACATACTCTGTCCTTGTCTGGGAACCACAGACAAGTGGTTATGTCACACTGTTATGTCAGGTGACAAGCCAGCAAGGAAAGAGAGTTCCTTATTATCAGAAATGCAGAGGCAAGGAATCTGCCTTCTCTGGAGGACAAGAAGACAGACTCATGCTCATGTGGGAGGAGAGGCACCATTCCCATAGAGACAGGCTGCTCAGACATTAACTGCTTCCCCTGCCCTCCATTGTCCTTCTAGGTCAAAAGCTGAATAAAAGTCAAAAAGGACTTCACTCTAACTGGAATGCCTGGATCCCAAGTAACTCACTGTTAACAAGCCAAATATGCTCCATTACCTGATCACTTCGGCTGCCCAAGCACCGCCAGGTCCTCTTTGGGCAGCATCATAATTCCCACGAGCATGGAAATATTTGTCGGCATCTTTATAATTTGCCTCTCGCATGTCCCAGTATGCTCTCAACATATCCCATGCCCCTGAAGAAAGCAGAGATTATGTTGACTTTAAAGCGTCATCCCGGAGACAATTAAATACCATTTCAGCCAGGAGCTGAAAGGTCCAAGGACCAGTAACAGAGAGAGGCACTTCTCCACATCGGTCTTTGCATGGGAGTGTACCCATGGAAAGGGCCTGCGGGGGTTGATCAAGGCCCTCTTCCAGCAGCAGAAACCAGCAGGGTCTCTCATGTGGAGCTGCAGACATCCCAGCTCCAAGGACTGCGTCCATTGACTGCTGGTAACCTGTGCTCAGGGAAGGGACTACTAAGAGAAAGGTCTGTGGTAACAGCATCTTACCTCCCACTGCATCCCAGGCAAATCGTCCACGTTCGAGTATTGGTGACAGGTCAGCACTTGCACATAGTATAAAGGAGAGCAACACAACGCAGACACACAGCCTCATGGTTCCCGGCCCAAGCCTGACACAGAGCTGTGAGACAATTGGAGAGATGAACAGTCTGGAGCACCTCTGAGAGACTGCTGACATCCATTACACCCATAGCTGTGCCTGGGCAGCTGCCCCAGCGTTGATGGCTAGCCCAGGAATCTGCTTCTCCCCTGACAAGGACTTATGCCCTCTGTGCGACCACAAGCTCATCTAAGGACTCCGCAACAGAGGCAGATGGACATGAGAAACTTGCATTTTAGCATTCCCTGGTGCTCCTATCACAAGTACAGAGAAGCCCCACATGCTAAAGCACTAGTCCTGTTCCCAAATATCAGCTAAAAACACTGCATATAGTTCACAAATTCAGAATATCACTCACCACTGCAGAAAGGCAAAGCCAAAGAAGATGGAGCTTGTCTTGTGTGCCCTCAGACCCAGAGAAGGTATTTATAAGCAATTCAAACCCCTCCAAAGAGGAAATTGGAAAGGAATCCAATTCCCATGGCTGGGAATTCCCCACCACCACTCCACTTCCAACACAGAAATCATTACGGTAAGCCTGTCCTTGTCCTTACTGAAAGTTCATAGCTCCTGTTACACAATTTTGCAGAAACTATGTGGTGCTTCTTCAGCTGTCCAAGGGACTATTTGCTCCTCAAGCAGGCTAAGAAACTGCCTTGAAGATTGAAGTGTTCCATGTGCTTGAAATGTTACAGTTGTCTTAAGGGTGACACTTATGTTCGGCTCTTGTGCTGGACAGAGCTTGGAGGAGAAGGTGCCTGATCATCTGCACTGTATGTTGAAGCACAAGGTTGGATCTGTGTCTGTGTACAAGGAACAGTCAGCTGTGCTACCAAAATGGCTGCAGGAATGGGCAGTGCTAACTGACATTCCCATGTGTGCTGGGATGACAAGATGGATCCCAGAGTTGATGGAATAGAAAGCATTGTGTTGCTCTTAACTCCACTGCAAAGCAAACTACAAACACCTATGTCCCTGCTGGTAATGCTTGAAGAGACTGCGTGCACACACACCACCAGTAAGGAAGGTCTGAATGGTTCATCCTGCCTTTGCTTGCTCTCACAGATCCTTCTCGAGGGACTTCGAGCCATCCTGCTACAATAGTGGCTCAGTGGGGATCAAGTGACCTAAACTAAGGAGAGTTTTTGAGGCAGCGGTAAACATTTTACCTAAGGGGAGGTTCAGATCCATACAGCCACAACTCTGCTGGATTTTAAGATCGACATATTAAATGTCAGGTCCTATTGGCATGGTTCACAGTTTGAGTATCCACTGTGCTCTCTCAGCTTAGGAGCCTGCTTGCTGCTTGCAAAGGAACTTGGTTAACAACTGATAAAACTGTTTTCCCTGCAGAAAAGGTTGAAGAAACTACAGTTGCACTGTAGAATGAGTGTGCAGAATGTCTCCCTGTTAAGCGGTCTTATACATGCCTTAACAAGTCTAAGCGAGCTTTTTTAAATTCTCTGCAGAAGAGTTATGTGTAGTTGCCCCATTCACAATTGTCACTTTAAACAATTAGCCACTGGAGCTGAAGGGCAGAGGCACGAGGTAAAAGAGGTGCAATAACAAACTGAGCTAATAAAGTGCCAGCAGATAACTTCCTTGGCATCACTGGACTTCAAACAAGAATTTAGCTTAAAGGAAGAAGAGACATTTTCCACAGACAGGCCTGGAGTGGCAGGACAGATATTCTCTGGTACACTGTATTTCTGAATGGAATAATCTGAGACAAGAATCCAAACCCTAACCCAGTGGACAAGGAAACCTTGCAAAAAGCAGGGGGCCAGACACATAATTTTGTCCCCTGCCACCCATGAACTCGATGCTTAACAGTGTTACAGCTCAGTTATTGTAGACACTGGAGTGCTGTGTTTTGCTGCAACTGTGTTCATGTCCTAGTGATGACTTAACACCCCTACAGTACACATCAACTCAAGTGCCTTCTCTGCTGGCTGCAGGTAGCCCTGTCTGTCACCTTTTTGGTTTTGATTAAAAAAAAAAAAAAAGGAAAATTATTCCTGTAAGTTGGGGTACAGGCTCACTAATGCACATGCGATATTGCCCACGGACCTAGAAGAGAGCATTGCCTTCAAAACTGACTTAAGGAACTTTTCCTTATAAGAGCTCAGACATTTTTGGACCATAGAGGATACTTCAGAGTCTTCCGATGTGGTGTGATGTGATTCATATTTGCTCCAAAACAAAATTTTCACATGACAAACATGAGGATAATTGCAAGAAGGTATGTGCTGGAGGGGATCTTTAGAAGATCTTGGATTGCATCCCCTTGACTTGTCTCCAACAACAAGGGCAGTAGCAGTGACAACAATGCTGGAGCTCCCTACGGTAACTTAGATAAAGCACTAGCATTGTGCTTCAGTAAGTAAGAGCCTGAGTACTGTTTTCCCGTATCATCTTGGCCTGCTTTCTGGGTCACAGCCCTTGGTCCACAGAAACAAGCTGCAGCCAAAACTGTTGCTTTTGCAACAGAAATAGGCAAGCTGCCTCTGAGCATGCAGAAGGGTTTGAATGCAATATTCCTTTCTGGCCTAGCACTAAAACATGGGTTGTGTGTGCACACTGGGTAAACACAACACATATAGGGGCGCCTGGGAGACCATTTTCTGGGTTTGTACATTCTGATATACTCAAGATAAAAAGCAAACTCAAACTGGTTGCCCTTTAATTCTGAGTATCTATAAATGCAAACTAAATTCCACAAACATTTTGCAATGTAGGCATTTTGCAATTTTTAAGTAAATCTGATTGAGAAAGGGGATGAGGTGAATTCCCAGCTTAAGCACAAAAAGAAATGCAGTTATTGCTTTTTCTGGGAAGTCATAGCACCTTATCTAAGTTTACATGGGCAATAATTCACTTCAGGAGTTTTACCATGCTGCTGTATGGAATATTTACTAGCACTGGCCTCAGCTTATAGACATGTAGAACAACTATAAACTTGGCCCCTCTTCAACAAACAGAATGCACATACAGATGTTTATCTTAAAATTGTTTTCCCCATTGATTCTAACAGTGAAATAATGTTTTGAGTCAGGTATGAAGCTTTTTATGTTCTTTTAAAAAAAAAACCACCACCACCACCAAAACCAACACAAACTTCTATTTAAAGTTGCTCTGGACAAAGCCCCCTTTATTCACCTCTGCTTTTCAAGGGTCCCCTCCACCAACAGTCAGTCACTGTTTTGGTGAAAAATGAGCTGCAGCTCATCTGCTCCAGCGCAGGCTGGCTTAAACTAGTGGTGGTGTATGCTTTGCTGGCTGACAAGAGCTGGTAGGGACTTTAGTTTTGAGATAAGGGCATTGCTCTGTACAACTGTAACTTCTAAACAGAAGACCATTTCATTTCACAGTCCCTTCACCTTACCCATATGAGACGAAAACAGGCGTCTCAAGAATAGGAAACAGCAACTGTCCAATTCTTCTTCAGAGGGTAAAGTCTTACTCTTTATTGACAGCCAAGTTAGTTGAAATCATCAACACAAGCTCACTTTAAGACACCAAATTTGAACAAATGCTTCCCATTATGTTAGCTATGCAACTATTCTGACAAATTTTAAAATAGAGCTCTGAACGGTAAGTTAAGCTAGGTACATTCTTGGAAAGCCTGCCAGCTTCCTCTAAGGAGGGCAACATGAGTACTTAGCTAAAGCTGAACTACATTCACACAGTGCATGGAATGGAGTTAAGTCCAACAGCCACTGAGGTAGCAGCATGCTCATTTGGCAGGTAAGAGAACAGGCCCCAACATCATCTGATTTGTGTTACCTTACTACACACTGCAGGTGCCTGGCTCCTATCCCAAGTCTTACTGTAAGAGCATGGGGTGTTTCCGATAGATGGATCTGTGCTGTTTCCAATGTCAAAATCTAAACCCCAAAAGATTTCAAGTTTTCTTTTTTAGAAGTAGTTCTGTATAGGCTTTTCCACAAGCAACACTATTAACAGATGAAAGCCTGCTGCTAATTGTCTCCCTGTAACACTTCCTCTAGTGGAGTAACCAAGTTTACACAATGAAGTCTTTCTTGCAATTGAGATTGAATAGTCAGACTGCACCTCTCAAAGTCTGTAAGTTGTATTCCTAAGTCCTATTCTGAGGAAAATAAAAGCATTATTGTGCAGCACAAGTCCTGCAAGACTACATAAAAAGATGCTTTATAAAGAAGTACTTTCAAGTCATTTCATGACAAAATTATGGATTTTAATAAAATTTAGTTCCAATGCATGCATTAGTTTTTTGTTTACATGACATTTGTAAAAACCAAGTATTGAACGGATGCAGTGGCCTCCTGCCTTCTGCTAAAAATGTGAGAATCTGACAGTGAAGAGGGCCAAAACTAGAAGCCTAAAAAGAAATTTGTTCAAAGATGTATTAAGTGCAGAAATGGAGCTGGTACAAAGCATAGTTCTGTAAATGAGAAATAAAATCCAAGTGATTTTATGAATCATCATGTTCTAGCAGATATGTAAAAAGACTTCTTTCTCAATAGCATTTATCTAAAAATACTTATCTAAGCCTTCAGCTTTTAGAAAGATTATTTTAATAAGAGATGTCATCCTCTCACTGTCCAAAATGTCAAAATTCATTGTGGATTTACCAAAGTTTACATGGACTTTAGTGAAGTCTTTGACAGATACTGTTTCCCACAGCATACTCCTGGAGATACTGGCTGCTCATGGCTTGGATGGGTGTACTCGTCACTGGGTAAAAAACTGGCTGGATGGCTGGGCCCAGAGTTGTGGTGAACAGAGTTAAATCCAGTTGGTGGCCAGTCACAAGTAGCATTCTCCAGTGCTCAGTATTTGGGCCAGTTATGTTTAATATCTTTATCAATGATCTGTATGAGGGGATTGAGTGCTCCCTCAGTAAGTCTGCAGACAACACCAAGTTGGGTGGGAGTGTTGATCTACCGGAGGGTAAGAAGGCTCTACAGAGGGATCTGGACAGGCTGGATCAATGGGCTGAGGCCAGCTGC